GATTAGAAATTAAGTGTTAACGAGCAGTTGGACAGGTGTACCTAATAAAGTGGCCGGTGAGTGTATATCTACACCAATTTATTCCTTTTCTAGGGTCATGAGGGTCACTGGTGCCCATTTCCAGCAGTCACAGTGTGAGGGGCGGGGTACACCCTGGACAGGTCTTCAGTCCATCACAGGGACACATAGAGACAAACACGACAAACAACCATTCACTCTCTCACTCACACCTAGGGACAATTTATAATTATCAGTTAACCTGACAGTCATGTTTTTGGTCTGTGGGAGGAAGCTGGAATACCCGGAGAGAACCCATGCATGCACGGAGGGAACATGCAAACTCTACCCAGAAAGGTCCCCGGGCCAGGATTTGATCTGGCGACCTTCTTGCTGAGAGGCATCAGCTCTACCAACTGAGCCACCGTGCCGCACAAAACATGACAACTCTAAATTGTCCCTAGGTGTGAGTGAGAGAGTGAAGGGTTGTTTGTCTTGTTTGTCTCTATGTGTCCCTGTGATGGACTGGAGACCTGTCCAGGGTGTACCCCGCCCCTCACACTGTGACTGCTGGACATGGGCACCAGTGACCCCTGTGACCCTAGAAAAGGAATAAACGGGTATAGATAATGGGTGGATGGATGGATGGATGGATTATTTTATTTTATTTTTTTCAACCTTTCAGAGTTGTGGCTGTAAGTCTTGTAAAATAATTTGTACCCATTTCCATACTGACCCTCCAGGTTCTGTGTTTTGAAGCTTACTTTCGAGAGGCTGTGCCAGCAGCACATTATGAGACACACAGAATCAGAAAATGCAAGATCTACTTCTTCCTGGAAGATGATACCATCAAAGTGGAGGAGCCGAAGTGCAAGAATAGTGGCATCCCACAAGGTGTCTGTGAAATGTCTTGGAAATAATCCTCAGGTGAAAATACTTACTTTTGTTTCATATACTGTATTTTTCTCTGTTTTCTCTTGTGGCAGGAAGACTTATTCATCGCCAACGCATCCCTCTGCCTCCACCAAAGGACGACGAGTTCTATAGCGTTTTCCATTTCAACATCAACCAAGACATGGTGTTTTACTCTCGTATATTCACGGTGACCAGCTGTGACCTCTTCACAAGGAACTTTCTTACAAAACTTGGAGTGCGGCTAAATGAGCCTGCTGCTGTGCCCGATGACCTTAACAGCAAGCTCCAAGAACAGGTAGGCATTTGAATCACACAGAAATCTTATAAGAATCGTTGTATCACCTGCCTTCTAAGTGAAATAATATCAATAATATGTAGTAATAATAATGTTTTTATCCATGTGCATGTCTTTATCTGTCATGTTGGTAAAATATCTCATGAACAACTGGACAGATTTGAATAAAACTCAACATAGTCATTGGATATACATTTAGACTAACTTTAAGAGTCAATCCAAAGTCAAAATGGCCACCCCAGCGAATTGATGTTAGGAAACAAATAAATGTTTCTAAATTTTGTGCAATGGTAGCTGACAGTCATCCAAATCACATACTGAATGAGGTGACACATCTATTTTGTTACTTCACGGTTTTAATGAATTCTTAATTTGCAACAACAATTCTACAAAAATGTAAAAAAATTGGAGGATAAAACTGATCATCCGGGATGAGGATTAGTGCCTCCAAATCCGAGACCATGGTCTTGAGCCAGAAAAGGGTAGGGTGCCTTCTCCGGGTCAGGGAGGAGGTCCTGCCCCAAGTGGAGGAGTTTAAGTATCTCGGGGTCTTGTTCACGAAAGAGGGAAGARTGGAGCGGGAGATCGACAGGCGGATTGGTGCTGCGTCTGCAGTGATGTGGGTGTTGTACTAGTCTGTCATGGTAAAGCGAGAGCTGAGCCATAAGTTGAAGCTCTCAATTTACCCTGCGACCCAACYCCATATAAGCGGAAGAAAATGGACGGACAGATGGAGGATAAAACTTGTTAATAAGAGGGTAGCTTCCCTGTGCTTTTGGGTGGGGGGATGGGCTCTGATGGTCATTTGTGCTTAAGCACCAAATGATTGTTAAGAGTACCCAGCCTTCTTGGAGTCCTTAGTGGGGGTGCTGAAAGGTGCTCCAGCTGGGGATTCCTTTATTCTGCTAGGGGACTTCAATGCCCACGTGGGTAACAACAGTGTGACCTAGAGAGGCATGACTGGAAGGAACGGCCTCTCTGATCTGAACCCGAGCGGTGTTCTGTTGTTGGACTTCTGTGCTAGTCACAAACACTATTTTCGAACATAAGGTTGTCCATAAGTGCACGTGGCACCAGGACACCCTAGGTCACAGATCGATGATCGACTTCATCTGATCTGCGGCCACATGTTTTGRACACTTGGGTAGAAAGAGGGGCGGAGCTGTCAACTGATCACTACCTGGTAGTGAGTTGGATCAGATGGCGGGGGAAGATGMCAGACAGACCCGGTAGAACCAAGCATGTAGTGTGGGTTTGCTGGGAACGCCTGGCAGAGGAACCCATCAGACAGATCTTCAACTCACACCTCCCGGAGAACTTCAATCACATTCCAGCCGATGTGGGGGACATTGAGTCCGAGTGGGCCATGTTTGGTGACTCAATTGTTGAAGCGGCTGCCTTGAGCTGTGGCTGCAAAGTTGTTGGTGCTTCTCATGGTGGCCATCCTCGAATTTGGTGGTGGACATCCCCGGTAAGGGAGGCTGTCAAGCTGAAGAGGAGATCTATCTGGCCTTGTTGGCTGGTAGGACTCCGGAGGCAGCTCAGGAGTATCAGCAGGCCAAGCGGGCCGCAGCCCTGGCTGTTGCTGAGGCAAAAGCTCGGATGTGGGAGAAGTTCGGTGAGGCCTTGGACAAAGACTCTGGATCGGCTTAGAGGAGATTCTGGCAAACCATCCGGCTGCTGAGGTGGGGGAAGCAGAACTTCACTAACACTGTGCTCAGTGAAGGTTGAGTGCTGTTGACCTCAAACAGTGATGTTGTTGGGAGGTGGAAGGAATAATTCTCGGACCTTCTCAATCCCACCGTCACGTCTTCTATGGAGGAAGCGGAGTCTGACGACTTTGTGGCTGATCTGTCCATAACTAGAGCTGAGGTCGCTGAGGTAGTTAAAAAGCTCCACGGAAGCAGGGTTCCAGGGGTGGATGAGATCTGCCCCGATGTCCTCAAGGCTCTGGATATTGTGGGGCTGTCCTGGTCTGACCGATAGTTGAACCTCAGATTCTGGAATAACAATGCAGGTTCCATCCTGGCTGTGGAACACTGGACCAACTCTTTACTCTCACTAAGGTTCTCGAGGGGTCATGGGAGTTTGCTAATCCAGTCTACATATGTTTTCTGGACTTGGAGAAGGCATTCGTCCATGTTCCTCAAGGTACACTCTGGGAGGTGCTATGCAAGTATGGGATTGTGGGTCCGTTGTTGCGGGCCATTCGGTCTCTATACAAGCAGTGAGAGTTTGGTTCGCATCGCCGGTAGTAAGTCAGACCCTTTAAGAGTGGGAGTTGGACTCCAGGGCTGCCCGTTGTCACCAATTCTGTTCATAACTTGGACAGAATTTCTCGGTGCAACCAGAGGGAGTCCGGTTCGGTGGCCTCAGGATTTCAACTCTGCTGTTTGCAGATGATGTGGTTCTGTTGGTGTCATCGAGCCAGGATCTTCAGCTCTCTGTACAGCGGTTCGCAGCCAAGTGTGAAGCAGCTTGGATGAGGATCAGTGCCACCAAATCTGAGTCCATGGTCCTCAGTCAGAAAAGGGCAGATTGCTCTCTCCAGGTTGGGAGTGAAGTTCTGCCTCAAGTGGAGGAGTTTAAGTATCTTGGGGTTTTGTTCATGAGTGAGGGAAGAATGGAGCATGAGACTGATAGACGGATCGGTGCAGCTTCCGCAGTTTTGCAGACTGTGCCAGTCTGATGTGGAGAAGAGGGAGCTGTAAGGCAAAGCTCTCTGTTTACCGATCAGTCTATGTTCCTACCCTCACCTATGATCACAAACTTTGGGTAGTGACTGAAAGAACAAGATCACGGATACAAGCAGTCGAAGTAAGTTTTCTCTGCAGGGTAGCTGGACTGTCCCTTAGAGATAGGGTAAGAATTTCAGTTATCCAGTAGAGAGGCACTACTCCAAGAGGAGCCAGTTGAGGTGGTTTGGGCATCTAATAAGGATGCCTCCTGGACGCCTCCCTAAAGAGGTGCTTCAGGCATGTCTAACTGGGAGGAGACCCAGGGGAAGACCCAGGACAAGCTGGAGAGACTATGTCTCTCGGCTGGCCTGGGAACACCTTGAGAGAGAGAGGTCTGGGCTTCCCTGCTCAAGCTGCTGCCCCCGCGACCCGACTTCGGATAAAGCAGAAGATGATGGACGAATAAAACTTGTTTTAGATCATTTTGAGAAATATAAAACTGAATAGTGAAAAGTACAAACCAGTGAAACTTCAACCACTTCATGTTCTAAGTATTTATTTTCACAGCTGCCCTGGTTCAGAATCTTTTGTATAAAATATTCCCACCAAACAAGTGTGTTAAAATATGACTTCTGTGGGTTTTTTTCAGCAAGCACAGAGTACGAATCCACTTCGCCCACACAAAAGATGCAACATGATGAAGCAGTTTCTAGAAAATGATGGTAAAATTCTGCGCTTCAACTGCTTCTGGGACGACACAGATAGCACATTCAGAGACCCACGGGAATTTGTCCTCCACTACTACCTGGCTGATGATACTATAGAGATCTTTGAAGTTATCCCACCCAACTCTGGTAGAGATTCAGTTCCTAAGTTCCTACGTCGCTGTAAACTACCTAAGGTAAAAAAAATCACACAAGAAATGTGCAAAAGTTATTATTCATATTATTTATATTATACTGTATATATAGTTTGAAAAGTTTACAAGAGAATTACTGAGAATCATTTTGGTAGTTTTTTTTAAATATGGTTATAGTTAATGTTTAATGTAAATGTGATTTTATAATTTCATTATGTTTTCCATTCTATTGCTAATGACTTGTAATTTCAGATTTTTTTATTTGATTGTGATTGACAATGACTGGATCTCATTAAATAATAAAAGACTGGAAGTCATAATTTTGAAACATCTGCTCTAATTATGAAATTGGTTTAAAAGATAAAAAATAATGTATTGGTAATAATGCTGACTGCATATTAGAGAACAAGTTCAGCTTCATTTTGATCAAAGGTTCCCTTTTTTGTTAGGGTTAATATTTTGTTTTATTTTATTTGTTTTATGCTAGATAGAAGCTAAACTAAAAAAAACATCTAGATAAAATTAGCAAAAGGCTAGCTAAAAGTTAAAAGAAGATGACAATAGCTAAAATATAAAATCATAAAAAACAAAAACAGGCACAGAGAATAATATTTTTAAAGGCATCTCAGTATGTTTCTATTGGGAAATTTATCCTTCTTTTATCCATCCATCCATCCATCCATCCATCCATCCATCCATCCATCCATCCATCAATCCATCCATCCATCCATCCATCCATCATCCATCCATTCATCCATCCATCCATCATCCATCCATCCATCCATCCATCCATCCATCCATCCATCATCCATCCATCCATCCATCCATCCATCCATTGATTTATCATTTAGGATTGCAAATTGTAAAATGTTACTGGACATGTTTGAAAAATGTGTTTTGAATTGAGAGAACAGTAGACAGTCTGTCATAAAGAGAAGACAGAAAAGAAAAACAGATTCTACATCTTTTAAACCTTTTAAATACATCAACATGTCAATTTAAAACATTTAAGAAAGCAAAAAGTCATCATGTACACAGCTGAAAACCTGTGGTCTCAGTGGGAGCCTCCTCCTCTGATTTGTTGGGATCTTTTTCTTTCTTTATAATCATCATATCATCCCTTCTTTCATGAATACCTCCTCCCTCAAGTATTCTGGCTTCTTCTCCAGTTACGAGTCAAAATCTAACTCATTTTGAAATCCAGCCAGGCCTCAGTTATGTTTGTGCTTGTGTGTGAGTGTTTTCAATGCAATACTTATGCTTGTTTTTCTGTTTTCTGTTTAATGTCAACTTTAAAATGTGATCAGGATTTAACATCTAATGAGAAACCACCAGGACCTTAAAGACAGATCACTTTCTTCCTCTGTCTCGGTCTGTCAGTCGTCCTCTATTTCTCTGTGTGCATATATGTTTGTATGCAGAATAGTGTTTGTTTCAGGATGATGGATGTGCTTGGTTCAACCATTTCTTCCATTTACTGTAATGGTTGTGTTGGTATTTCTGTGCAGAACCCTTCAACCAAACTGAAGCAGCCAGGGGAGATCACAGACCGCACAGTGTTCAAAGTGCTGAACTCCAAGAGTTTTATGCTGGACAGCCTCAGAGTAYGACCTGTCTCAGCCTCAGTCAGTCCACACATGCTGTCATAACACTGTAATGTTAGACGAGGGCTCAAATAATAAGAGCTAGTGAGGGAGACTGAGGAGTAAACCAGAGCTTAAAGTTCTACCAGTGAGCCTTAAACAGGCTACTGAAGTACATTTTTTCGTCAAATTACATTTGAGTGTACATCAGTCCAGTTATAGAGAGTAGTTATTGTACAGTATATGTACAGCAGGTAAAATAAGTATTGAACACGTCACCATTTTTCTCAGTAAATATATTACTAGAGGTGCTAATGACATGAAATTTTCACC